AACATGTAATCATTACATAAGAATAGTCAATGGCGGCTAATTGCCATTCATCCTGGTAACGTGTCACTTGGCCAAGTGTAATGATGAGTTGTGCTGAGTTGGCACCGCCTCGTGGCGTCGGCCTAGCAAGTCGTAGATATCGGCTCGTGTAGCTATAACCGATATGTCATATCCGACATGTATTAACCGACATGTCATAACCGACATGAGATATCGGTCAATTGACGACGATGTCGGTTCTTGATGAATTCTTACCCGATATGTGATTGTCTTGAAACCTGTGAAGACATCATCTACTTTGTACGAACTTAATTATCCTCTTACTGAACATAATCATCTGATCACCGTTGCTCAATTTGGTTCACTGGAAATGATGTCAACAAGGTGGCCCTGAAAGGAAATGGTGAAAGCATAAAAAAGGAAAATCTGCATCTTCATTAATGTAGTAGCAGGTTTCATACTCAAAATATGCTATTCCCAGTTTTTCATAAACCCTAGGCTAGGTTACAGATCCCTTTTATATCCCTACAATAAAGCTATCCTACGGCTAAGATGAAATGTAGTACATCAAGGATAAATCATGTCCCTTCAGTACATAAAGCAATATCACAAATAAGCTAATGGACAAAATACATGCAGGAGTGCATGTGAGCTACGTTTTCTGAGTTGGTACTGTGCATGGGCCCGTGTCACGTAATGAGCTGGTATGGAGTTGTCCATGTTGGCATGGTGAGTCATCATGTTGACTCCCGTGTCACGTAATGAGCTGGTATGGAGTTGTCCATGTTGGCATGGTGAGTCATCATGTTGACTTTCATCCCCCCGCAAACCGAGCGAGGCCTTTGAAAAAACTTTGAGACTGTTTTTGTGCCGAGAGAAGGGTTGATAAGAGAGAGCTTTTGTGAATATGTCTGCAACTTGTTCAGATGTAGGAATGTGACAGATATGAATAAGATTCCTCGAAATCATATCCCTGATAAAATGAAGATCAAGCTCCACATGCTTAGTTCTTGCATGTTGAATGGGATTTGATGCAAGAGCAATAGCACTAATGTTGTCAACCCAAATCTTTGGAATTCCTTCAGAGGGTAAGGATAACTCTTTCATGAGATTGGTGAGCCAAATTAACTCAGCCACTGTATTGGCTAAGCTTTTGTATTCTGCCTCGGTACTTGAACGAGATACAAAACCTTGCTTTTTCGAGCTCCATGATATGAGGTTGTCACCATAATACACACATGAGCCTCCTACTGATTTTCTGTCATCAATGTCAGCCGCCCAATCAGAATCTGAGAAGGCAGTAAGGCTTAAGTGAGTTCCTTTTGTGAAGAAAAGACCATGATCAATGCTTCCTGCAAGATACCTCAAAATTCTCTTGAGAGCTTTCCAATGAGGAGTAAGTGGATGACACATGAACTGACTGATTTTATTAACACTGAAGGCAATTTCTGGCCTTGTGATGGTCACATATTGCAAGGCACCAACCAAACTCCTATATAAGGTATCATTAAGATCAGAGGAAGTACCATCTGTTTTGGATAGGTGTTGAGAAGTGATCATAGGGGTAGGAATTCCTTTAGCATGTTCCATGCCAGCTCTTCTGAGAAGATCTTTGATGTATTGTTCTTGGTGTAGAAGAACACCCTCAGGAGTTGTGACAAACTGTATTCCCAAGAAAAGTTTAACATCACCTAAATCCTTCAAAGAGAAGATATCTTTGAGCTGCAAAATGACTTGAGCAACCTGTCTCTGATCACTGCCTGTAACTAAGATATCATCTACATAGATGAGTAGATATGTTGCATGAGATGGTGTGACTTGAAAGAACAATGATGTATCAGCCTTAGATTTTTGAAAACCAATATCATGAAGAATTGTGCCTATCTTGGTAAACCAAGCCCTTGAGGCTTGTTTAAGCCCATAGATGGCTTTGGAAAGTTTACAAACCATCTGTGTTCCTTCAACATTGTGTTCAAAACCAGTTGGCTGTTGCATATAAATATCTTCTTGCAAGTCCCCATAAAGAAAGACATTGTTTATGTCCAAGTGTTTGATGGTCCAACCCTTTTGAAGGGCTGCACTGAGGATGAGCCTTATAGTAGTGGGTTTAACCACTGGACTAAAGGTCTCTGAAAAGTCAAAACCAGCTTTCTGTGTGTAGCCTTGAGCTACCAATCTAGCTTTATGGCTAGCTCTTGAGAACAATTTCTCTACTCAGTCTCAAGCAAAAATCATGCAATATAAGATTATGTTGCAGTCCTTGAGGAAAAATGGCATGTCTATGAGGGAATATCTTGGAAAGATGAAATCTTGTTGTGATACTCTAGCATCTGCAGGACACAAAATCAATGAGAAAGATCAAGTCCTTCATATACTTTCTGGTCTAGGAAATGAATATGACTCAGTCATGGTCAATGTGACTTCTAGGCTTGAGCCCTATTCTCTCAGTGAGCTCCATGCTCTTTTACTCAATTATGAGGCCAGATTGGAGGCAAATACAACCTTCCGCACCAACATAAACTCAGATGGATCTCAAATGTCCATAAATGCAGTCCAAATGAACTCCAAAGCCCCTGGGAACAACAACAATGGATCTAATCCCATGAGAGGAAATTTTAAGGGCTTCAGAGGTTCAAATCAGTCAAGAGGAGGAAGAAATGGCCGTAGCTATAGAGGAAGAGGTGGAAGGTTTAATGGAAATAGAGTTACCTGCCAGATATGCTACAAAGATGGGCACTCAGCTGATAAGTGTTGGTATAGGAATGATAACTCTTTTCCCAGTAATGTCTCTCCTCAAGCACAACAACAGAGTTTTGGTCCACAAAGAAATCCCTCTTTGAACATGGCTCACTTTGGGAACTTACCTCAGATCACCAATTCCAGTGTCTCATCAGAATATGGAAATGAATCGGTGTGGTTCCCAGACTCAGGTGCTACCACACATGTCACAAATGATCTAACCAACATGAATATGGGATCTGAGTATGGAGGAAACAACAGATTGCAAATGGGGAATGGTTCTGAGGTCAATATCAATCACATAGGTAATTCATCTCTGAAATCTCCCTTTGGAAATAGAACCTTCATGCTTAGAAATCTTTTACATGTGCCTGCCATAACTAAAAATCTCCTTAGTGTATCAAGCTTTACCACCAGATGTGCTTATTCAACAACCTAGACAAGATCCTTCTTTATCCAGTGCCTCCAATCCACAACTTGTCACTCCACTTCAAGGGAGCAACAACATCCCAACTCAGTCTCCTCCATCAACTCCAAGACACAATGCCCAAAGATCACCTTCATCTACTTCCTCTTACAGCACTATTCCATTGGTTGTTGATTTACCTATCATTCCAATTGATCAACAAAATCAAAGCTCTCTGCCCAATACAAATAGACACCACATGATGACAAGGTCCAGAACTGGACATTCAAAACCTAAGATTTTTTCAGCTACATTTGACACAGAACCAAGATCAGTTAAGGAAGCATTGACTTCAGATGTTTGGAGGACAGCCATGAAGAATGAATATGATGCTCTCTTAAACAACCAAACTTGGACTCTAGTTCCAACCCCTTGCAAGAATCTGGTCTTGTCTCTCCCATAGCACATAATCTGGGTTTACTTCCTCTGAGGTGCCAACGAGATGCATTTCTGGAGGTGCTCTACTGTCTTTCTTGATGAAGGACTCAAGACCATAGCCTTTAATGGCTGTAAGAGCTTGTTGCTTCCAGATAAGAAAATTATTTTCATCTAACTTTACTGAAATGAGCTGGCTCTGTGGAAAAATGATTTGGTTTGTGGATTGACTATTACTGTTTCGATTTTCTGTCATGATGAAGGGCTGAAAAGGGATTAAAAGGAAAAAGGGATCAGAGACAGGTGTTAACCCGCTCTGATACCATGAAAGGAAATGGTGAAAGCATCAAAAAGGAAAATCTGCATCTTCATTAATGTAGTAGCAGGTTTCATACTCAAAATATGCTATTCCCAGTTTTTCATAAACCCTAGGCTAGGTTACAGATCTCCTACGGCTAAGATGAAATGTAGTACATCAAGGATAAATCATGTCCCTTCAGTACATAAAGCAATATCACAAATAAGCTAATGGACAAAATACATGCAGGAGTGCATGTGAGCTACGTTTTCTGAGTTGGTACTGTGCATGGGCCCGTGTCACGTAATGAGCTGGTATGGAGTTGTCCATGTTGGCATGGTGAGTCATCATGTTGACTTTCAGGCCCCCAGCATTAATGGTTGTCTTGAAAAAGACGGGCAGTGATGCTGAAATTCCCTAATAATCATTTAATCTTGAGCAAGCGAGACATGTCGGTTTTGCAACTGTTCCTCCGATATCTTTA